GTGTGTGTGTGTGTGTGTGTGTGTGTTGGGGGAAACCATCAAGGAAATTGCTCCTTGGGCTGAGGAGGGCCTACTCGGAGGGCGGCCAGTCTTGAGGACCCTGATTCTGTGAGGCTGGGCAATAAGGCATCCTCAAAACTGAGACAACGATGGCGGGTATATTCAAGGGTTGCAGAAAGGAAGCTTCAGGACATCACCCTAAGTCCTGTCCAACTCATTGCCTCTCAGACATCAAGATCTTCCTCCCTCCTTTCACACTCAGATCGGACTTTCACTTTGAACCCGGAGCTTTCACACTGAGCAGCTGCATTGCAGATCATTTTGTTTTGAGAGTCACACTAAGTCATTAAAAATTTTCAATTCTCCTGCCTCAGCCTCCCAGAGTGCTGGGTTTTCAGGCAAGAACTACCACGATCGGCTAAGATCTGATTTTAAAGTGGATACTGCTGGGCCGAAGACCCGAGTTCGACCCCCAGTACAAAAAAAGATAAGAAATAAAAGGCGTTGCAGAGAGACAAGCCGCACTGGGGCTCAACCCCGCAACACGTCCAGGGCCTGGTCCTACCTCCAGCCCTGGCACAGCGGACGCCGGAACTCTGGGTCCAGGCGGAGACTTTCGCTCCGACCCGGCGGGCAGAGGTTGAACAGCCTCCAACCCCCGCGCGCCAAAACCCTCCGCCCTAGAACCACATTGCCCGTGAGCCTCCGGGGCGCTGTTGCATCATGGGACGCTGCACAATTTCCCGCGGGAGCCTCCCGAAGACCGCAAGGCCGGGGTCCAGGAAACTTCCCCATCCCGCCCCTCTCGCGAGGCACCGACAAGCTCAACTCCCGCCCCTCACCGGAAGACGCCGAGATGATAATAGAAACCGGCGGCTAGAGGCGCCCAGACTTGCCCTCTGGCCTCCGCTTCCGCCGGAAGTGACCTCCATCCCCAAGTACCCTTCCTCGGCTGAGCGCGCGGGCTCCGTCCGTCCCGCATCACCCGTGGAGGGCTCTGCTGCGATGGCTGCTGCCACCTTGT